GAGTCTAGGATTAGGTAGTTACACACACACACACACACACACGCGCGCGCACACATCATGCACACAAACACATCAGGTACAGGCGCCCGGGCCAGAACTAATGGTACGGGACTGGAGAGATATGAGAGCTGTCTGGAGAGATTCGACTTGCTGGTGCTGACGCGCGCAACCGCATTTGGCTCTCTCTCTCCAAGGCACTTCGCTGTACAAGTGGGAAGGGATGGGGGAAACGTCAGGTCGGGTCAGGTCAGGTCCAGTGGAAGTGGCATTGGGCGAGTGCCATCACTGGTTAGGTAGCCGCAGGGCAGCGAAGCACCCACTATCCATTCAGGCACAATGTTCAGTTCCATTAACGGCCAGTTCCCGTCACTATCACAAATACCACCTCGCCATTATCTCCGGTATTATCACAATGGAATAACCCACCCCCGGGGAAAGCAGATCGATGCAGTGTGATGGCATGTCTTGGCTGTCTCTGGGATGATTTCCCAACTGGCCCTTGTCCACAAACTGAGCCCGGGTGCCATCGGTGCTGAGGAGCGGGCGGGGCCCAGGTGGGCACTTCACCTTCCATTGCCCTCAAGCCTTGGGCAATCCGGCACGCTTCCATTCCAACTTCTCGCGCTAGCAACGCTAGAAGCTCTCGCACGTCGCCCCAGGGCTCCGCCAGCGCGCTAACACGCACCCGACCTGAACTGGAAACAACCAAAGGAACGTTCCGACCTGAGCTTCAACCTTCTTCCCTTCTCATCGTCACCTCGCCTTGGCCATTTATGAACGACATATCAAGGTAATGAACATGACTGAACCTAGCTCAATTCCTCTTGGGCTGTCAATGTATGTAAATTCCATCTTGTTCTCCAAGGTCAATGCGCTCTATGTCTATCTGGCCCACGTCTTACACAGACAGACACATTTCATCCTGTGCCTGATCTTCCCCAGATATGGCACGCGCCTACGAATTAGCTACCTTACATTCTTTCTAGTGATGACAATCTACAAATACACGAACCCAGTATTTATTTTTCGAGAATTGCTCTTCGCCGTGGTAACGGCGTGACAGTGTCTCGTCTAGACAGATCAACATATCCCGTTGCGGTAATACGGATACCTACCCCTACCTTCCCCCATGTCAGCGACAGGGCCACCAACTCCCCCTCTCATTACCTTACCTTACCTGACGTCGTTTTTTCTCAATTTCTCATGGAATCTACTCCGTAATTATCACTCCCTCTTCCTGTTCGGTATCCGTACGAATACTGCCCCATCCAAGCGCTTACAAAAATACTCACCTACCTAAACCATTCACGAAATTGGGACGGAAGAATGACACTAGCCGCGCTCGCTCACACACACACACACACGACCACACACACTCTCCCAAGGGCTGAGTTGAGAATGATCAGCGCGGGAACAAAAACACACTAAGGCACGCCGCCGCCTTCGTCGTGACATGTGAGTGGCCAGTCCCAGCGACCTGCGCCGAGCCGCGAACGTCTGCACCAGATCCCAAGAACCACCACACCTCTTTTTCTTTTTCCCTTTCATGATCCTCTGTGATTCGGGTGATTATTCTTGAACTGATCATCCGTACGGCAATGTCTCCCTCCAATGCTTCCAACATCTCGTCTTACTCTCCAAGCACGCTGCCAATATGACAAAAATCCAAAATAACACAACACGAGCCTTTCATATCATGTCACCAAAATACACATTCCTGAGCTGCCCCGCTCGGAGTTAAAAAACAAAGATATACTTGTAGATCCGTAGATCCACCAGCCGGATGACCAAAAAGAGAAAACAGCAGAGACATCAACATACCCCTCGCGGTCTCACTTTCTCAACTGAGACATGGGGAGATCACTTATTGAACCCCCCTCTAATTTGATCACGTCCAATGTTCCAAGCATACCGCGGCACTGCAATCAACAAAGTAACACACGAGCTCTCCGGGAAGAACATCTGACCAACGGCCACTCCATTTTGTCTCGATGGTTCCCCGCCACGAATAACGTAGATCCTCTGGATCTTGATCTGCCCCGTCACGCTTCCATCACGATACATATATTATACAGATAGTCCGCCCAGATACCAGCATGGCGCCAGTAAAAACCCAAACAGTGACCCTGGCTGCCGCCCACGGCAGGTCCTATGACCCCCTTGTACTCCAAACATCATGCCTTGGGAAACTTCTTCCAGTTCCCAGGCTTTTTCGCTTTTTTTTTCTTGTCAAGCGTGGGAAAAAAAATATCATGCGTAGTCCTGCCCTCTTAGGACTCCTCTGGCAGAGTCCGGGAAAGCCCGGCACCTGCCCACCACTCGTCAGGAATATCTTGCCGCCTGGCGAGATGCCGTACAATCTCTTGCATACCCTCCAACGCGTTGTCGTTGGACGATTCGGTGCGGCTCGGGGGCCCTGTGTCACCGTCGCGATCCCCTTGGCCGCCTGCATCACGGGACTCCTCGCTCGAATCTCTAACAATGTGGTCAAGCAACTCTGGTAGCGGAGTGGGATCACGAGTTGCGATCCTGTAGTGCCGAGCAAGCTCCAGTCGCCGACGACTTCGCATCTCTTCGATGTCGCGGCTACCCATAGCCCTCATAGCCCCGTCTCCCCGAACAAAGGATATTCTGCTCGGATCATTCGCATCCAAGTCGGCCACAAACCGCCGGTGTCTGGACGGGTAGTTCATCGTCCAGTGATCAGGCCAGCCCCTTCCCATATGCAAGTCTTCATGGCCCTCACTATCCGAGTTTTCCAGTCCGGATTCGCAAGGTTGCTCAGTAGACTCCTCAGCCCTTTCGGGTCTGTCTACAGACGTGCGAGATGATGCGCCGGCGCTCTGTGATTGCGATGCAGACGCAGACGCAGACGCCGAAGCAGAGGCGAAGGACGAGCCAGCACTGGGAGGCTGCGGGTCCGGCGTAAGTGTAGTTAACAGTGTGTCCCAGACGCCATCCTCATCAGGGCTGATGCTTCTGTTACGGTCGCCAAGGCCGTCTGCAAGAGAAGCCTCGATTAAGTGTCCAAATGGACGAATCCGGCGTACCCGCCGCGATAACGATGCGCGGTCTGATTGCGGTTCCAAGTCCGGTCTACGCATTCGTCCCGCAAACCTGGCGGAAGTCGCATGCTCGGGACTGCGGTCGAAGCGTGCTGCAACAGGTGGGGCGGGCTACTTGGTATGTTAGTCAACAGCGTATTCCGAGGTCACAGTCCGACGAAGCCTACCATTGACATGCGATCGAGCTGCGCCCGACGGAATCTCCGTCGTTCTCTGGAATTGGCGTATGATGTTGAGCCCTCAAGCTGAGCCCGGTCTGGTTCCTGCCAATTGGCGTCCTCTTCCCCGGTCGGGGGTGTGACGGTAACCCCGCTGGAGAGCCGGGGCATACGGTTCAATACCCATTCATCGCCATACATGGAAATCAGACGAGCTTCGCTGGGTTCATTGCTATCGGCTTGACGGTTGCGTGCTTCGTTTACACGTTCAATAATTTCAGCAGCCGGATTACGACGCTCGGACACCGGAGGGGTCGATCGCGAGGGGGGCGCGACATATGCCTCCGGAGGTGGAGGGTGGCCAGACTCGATCCATGGATACCGGGCGCGCGGGATAGGCTCGGGGCCGGGAGTGGGGTAGTTGTCGCGGAGTAGAGCGGCGCGACGGCGGAAGGGGCGCGCGTCGTCGCTGCGACGGCTGCGGCGAATGGTAGAGCGAGGATGTCGAGTGGCTGCAGACTTGTCGCCGATTTGAGCGGGAACATCTGACTCGACGGGAGCGATGAAGAGTCTGCGGTTGGGAAGATGCGATGTTAGTGATGGGATGCGAGACCAGGGTATGAAGCAGTCTGCATTCACCGCGAGTGTGTTGCAACTCGACAGCGGCGGCGGCGGCGACGACGACGACGTGGCCAAGGCAGCCTTTGGAGGCAATCGACGAATCGCAGACGAGAGTATGCGGAGGATTTATGATGAACGAGATGGATATGGATGGAGGCATTGTAGTGGAAGCGATTGCGATTACGCGATGCGACTGGGCAGGCCGAGATTGAGCCAGCGTCCCACAGGCCAGGCGCAAAGGCAAAGGTAATGCAGCGCGACCAGGAAAGCCGCAGGGGTAGGCGAGAAACTTACGGGAGTCCCATTCTGACCGACTAATGGCGCGCGCCCGACGAATGAGTTCAAAGGCAGCGGGAATGATAGATGGGTGGCGCAAAGTTTCGACTTGATCGCAGGATGGCAAGATTGATACGATTGTGGTCGTGATGAATGTGATGGAAGATGGGGCCGCAGTACCGTGTTTCGCGATGGATTCGCGATGGAATTGGCGAGTTGCGCGAAGCGGAAATGGCTTTTCTTCGTGGGGCGGACAGGCGGGAGGGCGGGAGCGAGGATTGCCCGGGGACTTTGGGACTTAGGTTGGGGTATGTATTAGGTCTAGGTCAGTGAATGACGGGGACGGGGCCACTGGGACTGGACGTGGATTGACGGTCAAGAGCGAAATGGAGCGAGACGAGGACGGGAGGGGGGTAAAAGGCAGAAAGGCTCCGGGACAATTAAAAAAACGAAAAAAAAAAAAAAAAAGGAACAGGAAGGAAAATGGAAAAGGCGCGGGTCTTTGGGGAATAGTCGCTTTACTTCTTTTTTGTGAGTGGCTGGCCACACCATCCCTCCCGGTCGCAGTCACGGAGTTCTGCCTCTCTGCCTCTCTCCCTCCCTCCCCTGTGGCGCGGCTTCATCAAGCAAGTCATCTTTGACCAATCACGAGGGCTTCCCATTTCACGGTCACTAGTCTCAGTGGTCTGTGGTGAGCCTGCCACTCCTGCCTTCCATTACTTGCATGCCTGCTTCCAGTGGAAGTGTGGCTGGAGCGGCACTTGCCAACTTGGATGCATTTCGATACGGAATACGTACCTGCCTTGGCTCCTGCTCAGGTACGTACTCCCGGTCTTACCGTTCCAGCAGGAACCTTGCCCAGCACACCTGCTCAGGTTGAGCTTCGTTCTTGCTGCATGCCTGCTTGCACCTAACGGCAGCCGCTCCGTTAACGTTCAGGGTCAAATGTAAATGGAAGATCTGGAATGCTCAGTCATATTCATTCGCTGACATCGAGACCCATCATTCCCACAGACTTTCAGTGACTCACGTCCGAGGGGTTAGAAAAGCAACAACCAGCTGTTGCCGGGCTACGAAGTCCGAACAGCCCTATGCGAAAAGTGTCCGTCGGATCCAGAGCCGAAACCGAGATACGGATGGGCCGTTGGTGATCCTCCGGGCTTTAACACCCGGACGCTGCCATCACTCCGTCACCTTTACAACTAACCAAAGACATCGCCGGGGTAAAGAGCAGACAGCATGGCAATGAAAGGCATCAGCCTAGGCCTGCATCGCATATCGCGAGCCCTCGAGGGTGTCCCCCAGAAATGGGATGCTATCCACGTCGCCGGCACAAATGGCAAAGGCACCACTTGCACATACCTATCAGCCCTGTGCAAATCTTTTGGCATCTCAAACGGCCTTTTCACCTCGCCCTACCTCATCGAGCCACGCGACGCCATTAAGATTAATGGTACGCCCGTGGCCCAAGACGTCTACGCCGACGTCAACCGCAAGATCCTCGCCGACGACCAGGCCCGCATCTCCCAGGATGCCGCCCAGGAGGCACTCAGCCTCTTCGAGGTGACCACCCTCATTGCCTTTGGCGCCTTTAGCCGCGCCGACGTGCAAATGGGCATCGTCGAGGTCGGCCTCGGCGGCCGCCTCGACTCCACAAACGCCCTCCGCCGCAAGAGCGTCACCGTCATCACGAAGATCGGCCTCGACCACCAGGCCTTCCTCGGCAACACCTTGCCCGAGATCGCCAAGGAAAAGGCCGGCATCATGAAGGCCGGCGTCCCGTGCGTCGTCGACGGCAGCAACCCGCCCGAGGTCCTCGAGGTCTTCCGGCAACATGCCGCCAGCGTCTCAGCGCCGCTGCACCTCACCACGAGCCAGCCCGGTCTGCTCGAGACTCTGTATGACTCGGAGCTGATGCCGCATCAGGCGCAGAACATGGCGTGCGCCATTGCGGCTTTCCAGCTCGCGTACCCGCACCTTAATCTGTCTGTGGAACAGGCTCTGCCGATTCTGAAGGATGTCAGTCACTTGGGTAGACTGTCATGGCTAGATGTCGAGGCAAAGCATCCGTCGCGCAAAGGAACCCCAATCCTCATCGACGGTGCTCACAACCCACAGTCAGCCGAGACGCTGTCCACATACGTCGAGCGACGTCTGCGAGAAGCCGATAAGCCCGTGACGTGGATCGTGTCGGTATCAAAGCAAGACGGAAAGGATGCTGGCGGCATGCTGCGCACGCTGCTCAGACCTGGAGACAACGTCGCCTGCGTGGGCTTTTCTCGGCGGGAGACTATGCCCTGGGTCGAGCCTTTGCCGCTTGAGACCTTGAGGGAACTGGCCTCGAGCGCGGGCGCCAAGGAGGTGTTTGAAAGCAAAGACGGTCTCGAAGCAGCTGCGAGATGGGCTGTTGAGACCGCCAAACGTGGCCCTGTTGTCTTGACGGGGAGTCTCTATCTAGTTGGTGACGCATATAGAATCTTGTCGTGAGCAGTCACTGGATAATCAAAAGTACTTATGAATTCGCAGCCTCACTAGTATATTGTCCATTATTATTTCCTTGTAGAGTGCTAAGTAGTAACAGTGCAGCGCCCAAACTGGTGACAACTTCGCGGCACGACGTAAGTAGTATTTCATACCTAGCAAGCCTCACGTACAATGGAGAACCTCCAACTTTCACCGCCACATCATCACATGATCCATAATCTGATGCACATCAAATCTCAGGAACCCAAAACTTACCGACACACTTTCATCGCACGTACCGAAAAGATACCCTAACGAATAAACACCTATCAAAAGTATACAAACCATGACAACCCCAACCAACCTCATCGTCGTCTGCTGCCACGGCATCTGGACCGGCGGCCCCACCAACGGCCGCGCCGAGTCCGAGTGGCTCATCGCCGACTTCCAGACCGGCGAAACCCCGACCTTTGTCGAGCACATCAAGGCTGGGCTGAAGGCGCTGCGAGACGAGTACCCGGCTTCTGCGCTCGTGTTTTCGGGGTACGTAGCTGTAGCCACCCCCAACCTTTCCTTGCATTACCTCTGGCGATTATTGGGGGGGGGGGGGGTTTCGCTCTAGTGTCTGTGTATTGTTGTTCATCGATGAATCTCGTCATTCTCGTTCATCGATGTGTTAACTTTTTCTCCTCGCATCCTGGTTCTCCTTTGTTGCAGCAACATCATGTAACAAAAAATAGTCAAGTATAAAACTAACGATTCGTCCCATCCCAAAGAGGTCCAACACGCAAAGAAACACCCCTCTCCGAAGCAGAATCCTACGCCAACCTCGCCGCCGCAAACGCCTACTTTGGCATCCTCCCTCCTCCCTCGTCTTCCTCTCCTACTTATCCCTCCCCCTCCTCCTCCTCATCATCCCCTCCCATAACCTCCCTCATACACACAGACACCCTCGCCCTAGACTCCTACCACAACATCCTCCACTCTCTCCTCCTCTTCCGCCGCCTCTACGCAACCTACCCTCGGACCCTAACAATAGTGAGCCACGCCTTCAAGAAGCCTCGCATCGCCGACGGGCACTGCGCCGCTATAGGGTTCCCCTTGGATCAGGTTCGGTATGTCGGGATCGATCCGCCGGGGATGAAGGGGGCTGGTGCTGCCTCCATGACCACCATGATCCGGAAGAAAGATGAGGATGAGGACGGCGGTGGTGACGATTCCAAAGCAGGAGCCATCGCGGGCGTGAAGCACGCCGCGGACGAGTGGGCGGTTGACCCGCACGGCGTGGGCCCGAGTCTAGCGGGAAAGAGGAGGGCGAGGAACCCATGGGGTCTAGCAGACACTCTGTTTGCGAGCGAGGAGGAGAGGATACAGAGTGGTCTCGTTACGAGATTCGTAGACGGGCACGAGGCGCTTGTGGAAGACACAAAGAGACCGTGGGCTTGAAAGCTATGTAGGTATACACACAAATATATATATATATATATATATGTCCGCATACACACATTCATCCCCTTATCTTCAACCTCCTTGGCCCCTCCCTTACCTTCCTACCAGTGCCTCAAATCTTGGACTTCTCACCAGCCCCCGCGCCGCCGGCGTCCTTCCCAGCAACAGCATCAACCAAAAACCTAACCGAATCCTCAACCATCCCCTCGCTAAAAGCATGCCCAACCCCTTCATACACCTTATTCTCGACCTCGACCCCAGCGTCGCTGTACCACGTCCCCGTCGCAGCCGTCAAAAACTCCACAAACGGCGCCGACATGGCGTACGGGACAAGCTTATCCTCGCCGCCGGAGCAGACGAGGAATTTCTTGCCGTGCAGGCGCAGGCCGTCCAGGACGCCGCGCAGACGCTTCTGCTCTTCGTTGTTCTCGGTGGTGAGACTGCCGGGCTCTGGGACAGCACCGGTACCAAAGAGAATGCCCTTTGGGTCGTGACGCAGGCACGAGGTAACGAGGTCGGACGGGAAGTCCCTGCTCCCGAGGAACGAGGCGCCGTTGTCTTGCGCAGAAAAGGTCGCCAGCTTGGATAACCTCGCGCGGTCCGATAGGAGAGCTGTTTGTTTTCCATCACATCGAATTAGCCCGGTTTCTTCCCTTCTCACACCTCATACCTCACAACAATGTATCTCCCTATCCCCGGGAAAAAGAAGAAGAAGAAGAAGAAGAAGAAGAAGAAGAAAAGACTCACCCATATAATCAGGACACCCAATGATCACAACCCCAGCCTCAACCCTCTCCTCTCTAAACATCATCTGCCACACACTATGCCCGCCCAAACTCACCCCCAGCACGAGATGCTGATCAATCTCCCACCCCTCCGCCGCCTTCCCATCCCTCTGCCCCAGCTCCATCTTCACGTACCCCTCCACAACGTCCAAAAGCCCCTTGTTATCCGCCACCATGCCCGAGACCATCCCCCACATGTCCAGTGCGTGCGTCTTGTTCCCCTCGCGCCAGCTATCCCTCGCCGTCGCCGACGCCGTCCTGGTGCCGTGGTTCTGCTGGTCAAACGCCACGGCGATGAGGGCCCTGCCGCTGCCACTGCCAGACCCCGACGCAGAAGATGATGACGACGAAGAAGACTTGTCCTCCCAACTGGAAATCACACGGCTCGCGATATCCTCCATATCCTCCTTGGCGCGCAACCGCGGGTGATGAAGCCACAGACACGATGCCGCCGACGGCCGCTTCTCGCGCGCGACGAGCTCCTCGAGACCGTAGACGTCGCACAAGAGGCCCGACATGTGGATCGTCGTCCTGGAGACGGCGGGCGGCGGGGTGGACGCCCGCATCGGGTTGTGCGTTGCTGCTGCCATGGCTGACGGTTGCTGTAACCTAGGTAGTATGCTGAGTACGTAAGGTGCGGGTAGCTGTGAAATTATGAGACGGGGGTGATTTTCTTCAGAAAAGAGAAAGCGACGTTGAGAGACTACGGAGAGAAGTGGAGGTTGTGTGGGATGGAGACGTGTAAGTGAGAGAGGAGGTGAGGTTGGAGTTGCCGAGGCCCCAGAAAAGACGGAGTCGCAACGGAGCGAGCGCGCAACGTTTGAGTGGATGCGCCCGGTGGTTATGGCCCAGCGGCTTGCAGCACGTCCGAACCTCAACTCCGATCATGTAGAGACTTAACTTGCATCAAGAACCATCAGGCGCAGGTCACCAACAATAGACGTATTTCCAAGACCATCGATTTTAAAGATGAGTTTCCTAATGTAGGTAGTTTGGAAAAGCCCAGGCACCGGCAGTGCTCTCAAGCAACAATCGTCAAAATTCCCTTTGGCTATTCAGCCGAGTCCGCAAGTAAAAGAATCGCCGTTCAAGCATGCAGACTTCCACCCCTTAAACGCCGTATTTCTGTGCCTGTCCTATCCCCTTTCCGTGCCCTTAGCCCGTGTGTCATTACGATCTATGTACGTTGATCGATCAGTTTTTTGTTGACCTGCCTAGGCAGACTGCCTTCATTAAATCCTGAAAACATGGAGTAGGCCCCCATGTCATCGAGAAGCAGATGTTGTCGAATTGTTCCGCGAGTGTTGATAGCCTCGCTCTTAATCCATCTTCCAGTGATTTGTCAGACCACCATCGTGATCCTCATTACCCAAGTACAACTCAATTGCGTACAGGGTCATGGTCGCTGCTACGTTCGTCCAGCGCCAGACGTTGCCGCCGGGGTCACCTCCTCTCAGCGTCCACCCATCTGGTCCATCATTTGTTGAGAAGTGTTGCAGAAGCAAGCTCGTGTACATGGCAATGAGAATTGAAGGCGAGAAGTAGGTGATGATCCCAAGGAGCCAGTTGGCAGCGTCTGATTCTTCCAGAGTCGGTTCCTCCATGAGAGCCCTCGCTCCCGACTCGCGGACGGCAGGAATAATGCGGGTAGCGCAGTAAAAGACAAGAAGTCGGAAGGCGAGTGAAATGATGACAGAGGGCGTAATGGTCTGGAACGCCGCGTAAAGAAGACTGAGAGACGAGTGTACGGCATGGGGAAGAGAGCCGAGCATGTGAAGTAGAGTTGAATAAGATGCCATGATAATTGGAGGCAAGGGTGGGAAGTCGGGCTGTGAGGACTGGTGTTGATCCGCCTCTGTAGACTCTGAGGGAAGATAGTCGGTGAAGATCTGGTAGACGCAGAGGACGACGTATGCGAAAAGCAGGGACGACTCGATAGGGTTGCCGCGCCCGCTGCCAATTCCATACGCGCCGAGGAAGAAGGCTGAAGTCATGGTGACACCGATCAAGATGGCATCCGAGTTGTCAATCCAAGGGAAGTGGGCGACACGCCAGAGGAAGTAAACGGCACTCGCAAGCACGCTGCCAGAGATAACGAGCAGGATAATCTGTCAAAGCCGTCAGTAAGTCTCGCAAAAAGTCAAAGTACATGATCCAGATCTGTGAGACTAGGATACGGCCAGGCTGTTCGTGAACGGACTTGGGTCTCATGGAGTCGGGGGCACAGGAGAGGGGTTCCACGTACGATCCAAGTGTCGCTTCGTCCTCTGTTGACGAGCCATTTGGTGATCTGTCCGGCAGCCTGAATAACGAGCAGAGTGCAGAATCCCTCGAGAAGCTGGAAGACGGGACTTGAGTACCTCAACGTCTTATCCCAACCGCCCAAGGTTATGGTCTCAATAACACCACCCTCGCCAAACACCCACTCGCCCCATGACGTCGACTTGGAAGTGGTGATGCCTTGCAATGTCCGCTCCACCCAGTTGGTAGCTCCAGCGTCGACGGCGAAACGGCTGAGGGCCCAAATCAAGAGTCCAGGAATGACAACCCACTGCGATAGGCGAAGGATGACGGATATGGCCCAGCGAACACGCGACTTTGCGGGGGTGACGACGGCGATGGTCGAGTAGACAAAGTAGAAGGCGGAGAGGGCGAGACTGTAAGCCAGCCCACTGTCCCTACCGCCGACATCAAAGGCGACAGGTATGGAGAGGACTATGCTCAACAGGAAGATGGCACTGGCGACGATTCGGAGGAACCACCACATCGGCGCGACGAGCTGGCTTGCTGGAGCCGCGCCGACAGAGGGGTTTGTTTCTGACGATGGCCGGACACTTTTGACGGCGAGTCGGCGTGGTCGCGATCGGTCGAGGGAAGCGACAGAGAGAGGCGCTCGTAAATGTCGTCGCAGACTTGGAGAGGGCCGAGCTTAGTTTGGTGGTGGAGAGCACGCAGGACGGTGAGGGGACCGTAGATGGTGTTTGTAAGGTATCAGGGCGACGGTGGCTCGTCTCGTCTCGCTGGTCGATGACAGGAACTCGGCAGAGGTAAGGTATTCAGAGGCTATTAACAGATTCTGCTGTTGCGTGATATGGCATGTAGGCAACTCGAAGCAAAGGAGGTGCGAAGTCGGTCCAAGTCCGGCGATCGGGAAAGAAAGCTGGGTGATAGAAGCAGAATGTGCCAACCTGCCGGTAGATTTTTGGGCGAGGTGGCAGGAAGCGGACCGCAAGTGGGAGCTTGGGCTTATCGTTAAAGGCGGTTCTGCTCGCCTACCTTCTTATCTTCACGTGGCGTTACCTGCTAAAATGCCTCCACTGTCATCTCTACCCAAGGTACTTACCTTAGGTACCTTACCTTCCGTACCCTAGGTACCTTAAGCACTTTAAGCCTATGAGCGGTGAAGCTGCAGCTCGTAGGATGATGTGACAAGGTCCAAGCTTTCCCTTTCCATCTTGAATTCTCTATTGAATCCTGTTTAATTCTGTTTCACTCCGACCTGGGAGGCAATAAAGAGAAGAAAAACGGTGACGGTGTTCCATTTCCATTTGCTGTGGCTGGCAGGCAGAAATGAGACATCATGATCTGCAAGACATAAGGCCACAGACTGCATGCAACACCTCACATGCACAAAGAGTTGAGCAGAGGAACCAACGGCCACCACATGGAACACACTAAATATCACAGGTAAATCAATCAGTGTGTGTCTCCCAGGTCGCGTGCCCCTATCGCGCAGACGCAGTCAAGCCTCAAGGTAGATTAAGGTAGCTACGCAGGTCCAGTCCATCCCATCCCATCTTTTCCCGAGCCCTGGAATCCCAGCAGGATCCGACGAGAGGACCCAGGGCCTGACAAGCTGACAAGTTCTTGGTATTAACCGTATTATTGCAGCGGTTATTGCAGCGTTGTAGAGGCGCCCTGCAGCTAAACGGCCGGCCTCCACTTGGAGAGGTGCTGGTGCCATTCTAGCCCCTTCTGATGCCATCCCTGCCCTGGTCCCATTTGCTTCTGTCTCCATCTGCCAAATCTGAACTTGTGAGCTCGACTTATCTGCATGTGACAGCCAATCACGGGAACCCCTCCTTCAATACTATGGTTTCTAATGTCTCTACCTCTACCTCGCTCAACTGGTCATCATGATGTGCAAAAGCTACTGCAAGTCACATGAACGTTTTGGAAACCATTTTCATCCTTCAGCGTCAACTGAACATGTCTAGATGGAACTCGATAGGTTTTTTGGTCTTGGTTCGTCTTGTCTTGATGTGCTGAGGACCAAGGCGGGGTTCTCGACGCAGCTATGGCACTCTTAGCTTAGTTGACGAGACTTTGGTTGTCCCTGATGCGCAAACTCTCCCCATCCCTACTTCTATTTGACCTTGGTGTTTCTTTTGGATCAACTACCTATGCCTACTTTGAGCCACTTCGTCTCTGAATTCCAGCCAAATGTTAGATACTTGTTATTTGGCTTGTGATGCAGCTCACCTCAATATCACACTTAGAAGTCTTCATATCATCCTCAATCTATTCGCTGTTAGGCTCATTGGAACTTCAAATAGAGCATAGATCTCAATATTGGATTTTATTTCAACAGTCACCACCGCTCGAAACGTGCTGTAGTCGATGCCTGTCGTCATTACTGGTGCGAGTCTCCGTACAAAGACAAAAGGCACATAGGCTACGAACTCCGATGCTCATCAGCCTGACGAAGAGACCAGTCCTATCATTTCTCACGGCGCTTTTTCAGGATACGCCAGTCACGGAGCGACTCGAAATGGTTTCCTTTTTCCATTGTGCACAGCACTGAAACCAAGCATTGTTAGTCGCACAAAGACGCGTGCCTCGGGGGCATTGTTTTCTTCAGTTGCTAGTCCCTCGTATAATCATCTATGCCTAAAGCAGCTCTTGCGACTTTAGTTTTGACGACCATCTATTGTCTACATGCAACGTAGCCAGACATGATGCATCGTCCGCTGAAGGCCTCTCTCCGTGCAACGAAAAAAAACTATCCCTGATCAATACCATCTAGCAGAGGCAAGGCAGGTGGATCGTCTGATAATTGCTGCAGTTCCTGCCAGTTGGCACATCGCTTCCGGTTTGCAGATAGAGTTGCCAGTAGCTTGTGTCAAGCTGACACACCAAGAAATTCAACTCTGTCAGGTGTTAGTAAGTATCATCTCTGTCCAGGTTGAATATTCCGAGTAAACAAGAAACTACATACGACGTCCCCAGCTACTACTCTGGGTAGTAATGATGGTATCACCCTCGAGCCCCCACGCGCTGGTGCCGGAGGCGTTGCTCAACTGGAGAGTCTTGTACGACGTAGCATCGCCGCCAATGTTGAGATACGAGCTCGAATTGGCGCTCTGGATGGTTCCCGCAATGTTGAAGAACTCCGCTGACGCCTCGGGCCCCAGGACGGGGATCGACTTGTCTTTTGGGTAGGCTTGGAGGTACAGGTGGTAGACGGGATCGGTCACGCCCCTGATCTTCTCAGGCTTGGCGAGAACGATGCCGGCGAGGGACGCCAGGGACGTGGCGAGTAGGACGAAGCGCATGTTTTTGTCCTTTGAAACGTTGCTCTCCTGGTTCAAGACGATGCTTTGTGGGGATTTGCGAATTTACAGAGGCTGATCACCGAGACGTCAAGATTTCAAGTCCAAAAACTATCATGATGCCCAATTCCCTTCTATTAAGTGCTTCTTATGTTTAACCATTCCAACCCCTCTTGCGGTCCATCTCCCTCCGAAGAGCCTACTTAATGGGAAGAAAGTCTCTGGCTATACGGCAGTGTCTATATGACGGGTAAATGAAAAGGAGCAAGGACGGCACGTTGAAGGAGCCAATCTAGTAGACCAATGTAACGATGCTACCAAATAAGAGCACTATGTCTCTGACGGCCCGCGGCAATCCTATCCGATTAAGTTGGCACGGAGGAAAAAAAGAAGAAAACGTGGGGTTCGCTTCGGCATAAAGCCTCCGTCCCATGTCATACACCACGGACCTCTGTCTTAAGTCTTGATTTTTGGACACTCAGGCGGGAGGCGATATTCTTCAGTCATGCTCTTTGCTCATGGAGCACGCAGAAACACGCATTGCGCAGACGCATCGGTGGTGTAACGTGAGATATCTGTACCTGACGGGACAAGACCACGCAAGGTACAGAGCGAAAGGTGAGAGCATGGTTAATCCCATCTTATCACGGCATCAAAGCTGTAGAAGACTCGACACCACAGAAGAGGCGTACGAATACACGAAGAAGCTGGTCAAGTGATGCACTGCGGTATCGTCGCCATTGGCTTCTCGTTGGCGACGAAAACGAAACGTACAGCTTCGTGGTACCTAGAAACTTGCAAAATGGAGCATGGTCATCATCTTTGCTATACGGATCATGTAGCTTGGATGGTTGCACGGCATAGAAAAAGTCGAGATGCGCAACCAAGCACAAGCTGGACAGGGGGGCATCTTACCTTGAGGCTTGAGTGGAGGGGAAGGGGAAGGGGAAGAAGTGTGGTGTGTGGGGATTCAATGGAGGATTTGGATTTCCCCAAATCTCCCACACTGGCCCCCAACAACGTCCCAAGAAAACCAGAGAAAATTTCGGCAAATCCTTGCCCCTCTCGGCCATCTGGCAAAGCCTATCTTTACTGAGTACTTATCCCAGGAATTCCAGAGAGGTGAGAGTATCCGTCCGGAGAGGTGGGAGATGCAGCCAGAAACCGTAAAACACATGTTCCGAACGATTGGCCACAGCGGGGCAAGGGAAGGGGACCCCTTGAGCCCTTCCATTTTCATTCCAGCACCCACCCCCACTGATATCCACTGCGCCACACCTCAAGTTGCAGAAACCCAAGAGAATAGACGGAGAGCAGAGAGCAGAAATCAGAAATGCGGTACCTGGAGAGGCGACACCTTGTTACACCGCTTGACCGCTTCGGAACACGCCCCCAGGGCCCAGGTACCTGTCCATACCCCTAACTTCTAACAGCCCGCCATCAGGAGATTTGCCATTTTCGAGGCATGATCTTTTTCCCACCAACACTCCATTTCCTGTTGCGCAAAGGGGGAAACACACAAGACCTTTTGTTTTCGTCTCTTTCTTCTCATTGAGAAGTGCGCTCGGTGGAAAACTCTCGTTCCCTCACGGACACACTCTTTCTTCTCGAGACCTTGACACTTTCTATAAATTAAATGTCCCAGAGCAGGTGATTCGACACTCGTTCTCTTTTCGCCCCTCCTCTCTCTCTCTCGGTCAGGACAGATCGATATCGGCCTTTTTTTTTTTCTTCGATACAACTGCTCCCGCGCGCCACACCTCAACACGACACCCACGAACAAGCACCACCACCACCACCACAACCCTCAGACACCGCAGCACAATGGCTTCGTCCGCTGCCTCAACCGTGACGCAGCCGTCCAAGCGCAAGTCCGCCGCCGCGCCCGATGGCGTCGCCGCCGGTAAGCTGACGACCGATGCGCCGACCGAAACCCCCAAAGAGAAGGACTTCTTCTGGACCTACACCGAGGAACCGCACCGAACTCGCCGACTGGCCATCATCAAGGCTCACCCGGAGGTATGTCACTTCACCACACGTCACAAGCGTCCAGATACCCCCTTCCCCACACTCCACGAGCCTCAATGCTCTACAGCAGCGGTCAATGTCTCGCTGGTAGAATGCTCAACGGCTAACAACTGCATCAACAGGTCACCAAGCTCTGCGGGCCGGAGCCCCTGACAAAGTATGTTGTCGCCGGTGTTGTCGCCATGCAAATCTTCTGGGCCTGGTACCTCCGCGACACCCCCTTCTTCTCCTGGAAGTTCTGGCTCGTCGGCTACGTCTTCGGCGCCACCGCCAACCAGAACCTCTTCCTCGCCATCCACGAAATCTCCCACAACCTCGCCTTCCGCTCCCCGCTCGCCAACCGCCTGTTCGCCATCTTTGCCAACCTGCCTATCGGCGTGCCCTATAGCGCTTCCTTCCGTGTAAGTCTTGAAAGCCTGTCATTGGTGTAATAGTAATAACCCAGGACAATCACTGATTATCACACCCTCCAGCCCTACCACCTGACGCACCACAAGTCCCTCGGCGTCGACGGCCTCGACACCGACCTCCCCACCGCCCTCGAAGTCGTCTTCTTCGACTCCATCCTCGGCAAGGCCTTCTTCTGCACCTTCCAAATCTTCTTCTACGCCGTCCGCCCGACCCTCGTCTACAGCGTCCCCTTCACCTGGGTCCACTACCTCAACATCGCCGTCCAGCTCGCCTTCGACTTCGCCCTCTACTCCGCCTTCGGCCTCAACACCATCCTCTACTTCCTCCTCTCCTCCTTCCTCGCCGGCTCCCTCCACCCGCTCGCTGGCCACTTCATCGCCGAGCACTATGTCTACGAGACCGTCACCCCCGCCCAGCGCGACGCCGCCAACAACATCCCCGTTCCCGAGACCTTCTCCTACTACGGCCCGCTCAACTTCTTGACCTACAACGTCGGCCTGCACAACGAGCACCACGACTTCCCCGCCGTCCCCTGGACCCGCCTGCCCAAGCTCCGCGCCATCGCCAGCGAGTTCTACGACGAGCTGCCCCGCCACGAGAGCTGGACCTATGTCATTTGGCGCTTCATCCTCGACCCCAACGTCGGCATCACCTCCCGCGTCAAGAGGAAGCAGGGCGGTCGCAAGGTTGGCGGCGGTGCCGTGGCCAACTGGACGCGTGAGGAGATTGAGGCATGAGAGAAAAACAGAAAGTAGAGAAAGAGAGAACGAATGAATGTTGTTCTCAATCTGGAAGACAAAATCTGTGTACAAAGAAAAAAAAGTTATTTGATGAACAAGTGGCATACTATATATTTAGCTCACGAACCGGGTGTGGATGACAGACCCTCCCCTTTTTAGACATGAAGAAAGCTTAATGAAGCATCAAGTGGAAATACGAATATGAGGAAATACTATTCTATCTGTGTCTCCATCAAAGGGGAAAACAAAGCGCTGGACTAAGCTAATTACAAGTATTGGATGACCGAGAAAGACGTCTGGGACAATCGCCCACAGCAGCCATGTTTTCTCTCGCTGTAGTGGCTCCTAATTAGAAGCTACCCTCCAGATGGGCACACGAAGACAGTCCCTTGGTCGACGTCAAACGACTCAAGCATGCAAGAACGCGAGGCAAAAGAAGTTAAGAGGTCAATTACTACATGCTGGAAGGGAGAATGTGGCCCCAAAGGATGCCCGTCCGCATTCTTATTCCCCATAGTCTATAGGTAACCCGTGCCACTGATATACACGAGAACAAAAAGAAAGGAAAATGAAAAAGTCACAACCAGGTATGCATCCTCGACCAAAGAGAGTCGCCAACGCATAGAAATGCTTGGTGCACTACAATCCCCTTCTCTCTGCCACCGACCAGGTTTCCAAATATCATAGACACTGTCTTGCCCCCAGAAAGTCGACCGATGTGGGTGGTGCTCGAACAAAACATCATGACATCTTAACTGAGTCTTTTGGGTTGCTGGGTCGGCGGCGTCCAGGGGAGCCACTCTGTTATTGCTCCTTTTCAACTGTAGAGCTAGTTCGTAGAGTAAAGTCTCTGCTGCTTCCAAGCTCGTGGTTGTCACATCCATGGCGACTGCTCGATTGGCGAGTATTACGTTTGAAGACTTTCGTAATATCGTGTGCCCTGCATCCAAACAACGCTACGAGGAGTTTCGTACTGGGCAGCCTATTGTATTTGTCAGTTATGCAGCGTGAGAAATACTGCTCAGATTGTAGAAAGCGGCTCCATTCATAGCGTTGAATCGACAAAGTCACAAGACACATAAAAATGAACATCGTCATGAGATCAGTCTCTGAAATCAACTACTTCGCGTCCGGGACGCCACGCCGTTACGACAAAAAGAATCCTTATGGTTACATGTGATTTGACTCCGTTCCATGTCTGTCGATGGTCCTCCTCTCCATCCACCTCACCGCATCGCCAAACTTCCGCTCATCGTGCCGTTGTCTTTTAGCAAGTACCTACAAGGGCGTCACCGGCAATGCTGCCTCAGCCCAATGCTACTTAGCGCTTCATAAGTCCTCCAGTAGAAAGGTCGTATAAGGGGGAATTGTCAGGGAATACCAAAAAAATGGTTTAGAAGAAGAAGTAAGCAAGGAGGAAACTGCACAAGCACAAAATGGCAACAATTTGTACCGAGACACCTTCAGCTCCCTGCCGCACCGCCGCGGCAGCCTCTTGGGCCGTGGGGAGCTTCTCAGTCTCGGTCTTGACGCGTTGCCGGAGACCGCTGGTATCCTGCAGGCTTGCAATCTTGGCCTCAGCCTGGGAAAGCTTTTGCTTCAACTCTTCATAGGTGACCTGGGCGGTGTTGGCGACAACGTGACTCGCAGCGCTGACTGTAGACTGCGCCTTCTCGGAAACGGTATCCTCCTTCACATCGGAGGTCGATGGTCGAGCAGCAGGCGCAGGGCTGCCGGAATCGGCATCCTGCTGAGGAGACGAATAGACGTTGGAGACATCGGGGGTATAGTCCTGCAATTTGTTAGTGTTTTGTTTCATAATCGACGAGCTGTCGGAGAACATACGCCGTTCACCACGGACTGGCAATTGGGTGTGGATGCGACAGTAGAAGCGCTACCACCATTGAGGGACACCGAGTCTTCGGCGGCGAGCCAGTTGACGCGGATCTTGCGCTCGATGAGAGAAGACTTGTCAGTCTGGTCGAGCTGTGGTATCAGTCGTTGCATTAGCTTGTGCGCCAGACCTTCGGAATCAAAGTGGGGGTTTTCGTACAATGTTTGCAATGCTCGCGAACTCCTTGTCAGCGGTGATGGAGACGGATTGAACCAGGAACTTGTCGCGGCACTTGGTGTCGAGAGCTGGCTCTGTCTTCATGGCCTGGAGAAGGACTGAGTACTGTTAGTGACATGTGACCACCTGGCGTTTGCGCAGAGCACCAACCTGTAACCTCGACATCTTGTCCAGGTTCAACACGACCCGAGTTGGGGCGAACGCAGTACCTGGATATGTCGTCAGTCGCTTACAAAGGCTGCACGGTATGCAAGGGATCGTACTGCTTCGGGGCGGTGGTTTTGACCTGGTCGCATAACCTGTGAGCAAAGGGTGACGTGACAGCCGAGGGATTGAGTGGCGGCATACCTTGAAGGCGATGGGGGACTGGTTCGGGTTCTTGATCCGCAGAATCCGAGCGACTTCGACAGTGAAGGGACCTGGGAAGGAGAGAAACGTCAGCAAGATGCCGTAAAAGATGCGCGCAGGAAGGACGTACGCTTGAAGCTCAGCTCGGTGGGCTCGATTTCGACCGACATGGTGGATTTGGAGTGGGTGCAAAGCTAGTGGTGATGTAGAGTAGATTAAGAGAATCCGGCGCAATCGAAACAGGCCTCAGCCTGGGCTAACAGGAGAAAGAGAATTTGCGAGATAAATGGGAGGGGGTCGAGACGATGCCGAAAGAGTGTTGCGCGCGGTGCGATATTAGAAAAGTCGATGGGTTGTAAGGTAAGGTCAAGGTTTCTTGAGAGAGTACGAACGTAAGGAGGGAACCTGTGGTTAGGTAGGCAAGGTAATGTATGGTGAGGTAAGAAAGGCAAGCAGGGTAATTGACCACGGTTCGGGACGGGTACGAAGTACGGGCAGAAAAGCAGGTGTTTCGCACGCAAGAGCCCACGACGTAATACACACCACCGTAAGGTACCTAAGCAGCGTGGCAGCTAAGGTACCTAACCAATTAACCAACGACAAACTGGGCTGGACTCGATTGGGATAGGGAGGATGCGCACAAAGTCCGGCTTCTAGGCAAACTAATTCCTCTTCCTCTCTCACTCTCAGTCTCGGGCAGTCCAGGCCAGGTTTCATTAAGGTACACTCTAGACTCTCTAGCCCCCCAGTGGCCCCCTTACAAGTTTAGCGGACGGTCAATCGGAGTCGCGCTCTGGGGCCTCGGGCCTCCACTTGCAGCTTCCCTTGGGAACTTGGGGCAGGGGTGGTTAATCCGGGCCCGGGGGTTTGATTGATCATGTTCATCCACTAAAAGTGGAAGGGACCCCTTCATGTGGCGCTTCTAATTATACCAGGTACTATGACGGTACTTGGCTATGTCGACGAACCTATGCAGTACCTACATTGTCTTCAGTCTTTGGAGCAAGGAACTTGTTGCTGCCTTGACAGCTGTGGACAAACCAGACTTGGTTCTAAAATCAAGATAAATTCCAGAGAAGAGATGGAGAGAGGAAATAGAACATCAAATAGGTACTTACGTTACCTGACAAAGCATGAGGAATAAAGAGCTCCAGAGTCCGTGTTGTCGGTCCCTCCCGCGCTCCAGCCACTGCCAGGTCGCCCCTCTATCCACAGCTCTCATCGGAGAAGGCACCTGCAGATGACGTCTCAGGAAACAACCACTCAACAGTGCCTGCCGTGCCAGCTTTGTTCATACAGCAACGAGAATATCTCAAATCTTATTCACATCTCAACTCATCTCCGATAGGTAGGCTGAGGAGGATAAAAACTGCAATTCACACATCACTTTCACACACACTCTTTATCAAAGACTTTCTGTCCTCATTCAAGTAGACAGATTCAGCTCACCACCCAAGAAAAAACAACCCCGCCATCCACCACCACTATCCACCAAAATGACACAGTCAGATCTCGACCAACTGCTCGACATGGGCTTTGAGAAGGCCCGAGCCGAGCTTGCCGTGAAGAAGACTGGAAACCGTGAGTACCTGACCTATACCACCCCACAAAGTTTCATCAAGCATTGTGACGAGAAAGTGTGAGATGATGTTGCTGACTGATCACAGTGAACGGAGCACTCGAGTGGCTCGAGACCAACCAAGACAAGCCCCTTGAGGAGCTTGCTGCCGCTGCTGAAGCCAAGAAGGACGACGATGACGATGATGCCGCTGAAGTCCAAGCCAACATCGAGGCTCTTGAGAACGGCGGTACGGCAAAGTCTCTTGTCTGTAATGAATGCGGCAAGCGCTTCAGATCTCAGGATACTGCCTCATACCACGCAACAAAGACGTAAGTTGCTATGATCCAATCGCCACCACCATTGAAGTAAATTCGCTATACATCAGTCGCCATTATCACAGGACAGACTGGATATGCTAAGTACTGATACCGAATACTAGGGATCACACCGACTTCTCAGAGTCGACCGAGGAGATTGCTCCCCTGACAGAGGACCAGAAGAAGGAGAAACTCGTCCAGCTCCGGGAGCAACTCAAGGAGAAGAAGGCGAAGCAGGCTCTCCTCGACAAGGAAGACGCCAAGCGCAATGAGAAGATTCGCATGAAGGCCACAAAGGAGACCCAGGAGGCCAAGGAGGAGCTGGCGCGCAAGGAGCAGATCAAGGAGGCTGCCAAGAAGCGTCAGGAGAAGCAGGACGACATTGAGGCGAAGCGCCGCATCAAGGCCAAGATCGAGGCTGACAAGGAGGAGCGACGCCGCAAGGCCGAGGAGGCCAAGGCCGCGAGAGAGGGAAGAGCCCCCGAGGCTGCCCCGGCCGCCGCCGCCGCCGCACCTGTTGGTCCGAAGACGGTCGCCAACCACAACGAGGCTCGCTTGCGCTTACAGACCGCCGGCGGTAACGTCGTCAAGACCCTCCCTGCTGAGACCACGCTGTTCGAGGTGGCGGAGATGCTTCGATCCGAAACCGGAACGGCCGTCACAAGCTTCTCGACCACGTTTCCTCGCAAGACGTTTGAGGGCCACATGGATCTTAGCAAAACCCTGAAGGAGGCAGGACTCACTCCCAGCGCTGTTCTCATTGTCAAATAAGCATTCTAGGATGAGACAGTTCGGGAGGTATTTGAATCTCCCGGGTATCCTAGAGGACCCAGGATCACGGAAGATAGCATTAGACGATGGCGTTGCGGGTGTGGGGGGTTAGCTAAAAGACACTCATTGAGTGTAAAGAGAATCGAGAACAGTCAACGATATCCTCCCGCAGTCTTTCCGCTCCCCTGCTTTTCTGATGTGTGTGCCGTCAATCCATATCCCGCCCAAGCTGGAAGGAGCGTGAACTCGAACGTAATAAGGCCGGCGATGGAATTATGGACAAGATAAGGGTGAGATAGAGTATACCGGAGAGTATCACGGATGGTGGGGCTGGATCGACTGTGTGCCGGAATAGTGAAGAAAGTATCGAAACCGTAGCTGCCAATTGACAAGGTCCCAACTACCTAGCCTTACCCACAGTACGAGCAAACATAGGACTCGTCGACTCGACAGATATGTTGAGTCCACCAAGCCTCGAACATGTAGTTTGTAATCTGCCTCACTCTCACCCACCAGCATATCCCGATTGGGTCGTGCTGATGACGTGGGGAATGGTGACATACATGTGCCGACTAGGCACCTACCCCGTTGAGGTGTTGCTTTGCGGCCAAGCAGGAGTCACAATCACCAGTTTCGAGGAGCCAAGGTAGAGTCATAAGCCATTCCAACTCGAGCTAAGCTGGTGTATCATGTCGACGTCCACGGCTCACTCCATTCACCGCGCGGGTCCCAATATTTTCAAAGCATGCCAAATTCCACTTTCATTTTTTGAGGATGTCCAGTGAACTCCGCGTAGAGAGCGTCTTCACATTATCGTATGAGAGCTACTCTGTCCAGGCAGCAGGATATCGTGCCTCCACCCAATCCTTTATGATCGCGCGAATCGTAGAACCCCCGGATCCATGCAGTTGAAGTTACAAAGGGAAGGAAATCGTCGCAGGAAAAATCGCTTAGTCGAAGAGACCGAAGCCCATGTCCTCGTCGGACTCCTCCTTCTCTGTAGCGAGTGTCAGTATTCATTTGGTGCACGACTTCGAGTCCATGGTTGTGGATTTTAAACGTACCCTCCTCCTTGGGTGCCTCCTCGGCGGCAGCCTCGGTAGCACCGCCAGCGGCAGCGCCGCCGGCAGCGGGGGCAGCAGCGCCACCACCGGAGCCAACGTTGGAAAGCAGGTCCTTGACGTCCTTGCCCTCAAGAGCCTATGTGAAATCTCAAATCAGCCTTCGTTGTCCTTCCTCGAATCGGTGGAAAATATTGTCGTCGCGTCGTACCTTGGCGAACAGGGAGGTCCAGATGGGCTCGACGTCCTCGATCTTGGCAGCCTTGATCAGGGTCTGGAGCTTGTCGGCCTAAAAATTCCAACATTGTTAGTCTCGTTCCTTGTCGTGGTATTTTGATATTATTTGATGTGATTTATTTTTTTCGTGGCGGGGTGACTCGAGGAGTGGACGCACAGTGATCTCGACACCATCATCGGCGAGGATGAGGGCCGCGTAGGAAGAGGCGAGCTCGGCGTTCGACATTGTGACTGGTTTGGGCGTTTGCGACTGGAGGTTGTCTTCGCGGATGGTGAGTGTGATTTGCAAAGGAGCAGTCAATATGGTATCGCGAGGTCATCCACCGAGTCAAAATTTGGCAGGGCTTTCAAGACCTAATGAACATTCGGCGGTTTCGGTTAAAGCCCGCCAGCAGTGGGTCTATCTTCAAGATTTGTGATTGGACGCAGGTGCGAGCCAATAGGATCCCGGATCGACGACCTGGGCATGCCTGCCCCGCTGCCGTCGGTGACACTTGGGTCATGCCCCACATCGATACCTCGATTTGACTTTCCAAGCAGGTCAGTCACCCCCACCTTCTCTATCAGAAGCGTCGCTGGTTGAGGTGCACCTTTCCATTGGTTTCCGGCCAAGCCAACGAGCGCATCATCCGCATTTTACTTACATACGCAATCCCATCTGCGCATCTTCTACGGATGCCACGGCAGCCCATTCTTTGTCACAGGTTTCTTACCAATACAACTCTGTTCACCAACACACAACAACCCCCAGTGCAACGGGGAATTACCTGCTTTACACTACCGACGATCGGACTTTAGCTTCCCGGTCTCGACCTGTGAATCACCTTTGGCCCCGCTATCGTGCTTCGTTGAATGTTGGATCATTGGCAGACCTGCAACGGTATCGACTTCCAGCGCAAGAGGTGCATGCCTTGGCCGTCCATGATCTCGAACACTCGGCAGTCGCCCATATTCCAGCTCTACAACCCTCCCAGCAACCAACGTCCGTCTTGAGTTACGTCACGCGAGATGGATACCCCTACGTGCCCCCCGCCGCGGGACGACCGCGAGAAGGAGATTCTCGATAAGCTGGTTGCGATCCGCGACAGGCTTCTGCTCTTGAAGCAGGACCGTACGACCTATATTCGAAGCCAGGACGTTCTTCCGCTCTACGAAGAGACGATCGAGCAGGTTCGCCTGCTCAATGAAGCCCGGACGTCTGACCGAAGGGAGGAGAATAGAGGTAATGCGCTATCGTCCCGACTGTGCGGGGTCAACGGCTAACCCGCGCTGCAGTGGACAGAGTCTTGGAGAGCTGCTTTCAACTACTTTCGCTCTTTTTCATGACCATTGGACGAAACAACGAAGCTCCAGCTGCCTATGCCCTGACCTCGACCGTCCGAAGATTGTTGGACCACCTCACCGAAGTCGACTTGTATTCCATCAAGGACTTGGAAAGCATCTCACACACCCTGACAAAGCTCGAGCAGAATGTCAAGACCACCGAGACCGAGTACCCTCCATACCTCATCACCCTGCTTTCCAACCGATTGGAGCTTTGTGACAAGTCTCTGGCAAACCTTCGCAAGCGATTGGAGCGATTCGAGGATCCCCTTCCAAAGACGTATGAGAAGCTGATCTCTATCCTGAGATCCATGTCTCTGGCGAACACCCGAACAAAGGTATGGCCAACACCAAGAGGGACGCGCCGCGACACAGCTGACAGTGATACAGTTCTCGCCATCAGAAGTCCAGAAGCTTCAAGCTCAATTGCGAGAGATCGAGGAGAAGAGACAGGAGGGCAAGCTCTTGACTTCGGACGGAAAGACACCGGGCGGGTTTGATGAGGTGACCGCTTTGCTGGAGAAATGCCTATTGTGGTCTGATTTCGTTCTTCAGAGGTACATGATACGCCACCGCCCACGAAAACGTCGCTAACCTTTGCTTAGGAAAGGAGTGATTCCCGACTCTTTCAAGCCAACCTACGACATCTTGTTCCGCATTCGCAACGAGCTGGAGAAACTCTCTATCACACAAGCATGGTCTCTTCGTGAAGCGGATCTCTTTGACTTCCAGAGACAGTTGGACAAGATCGACGAGAGTAGAATCGAAGGCAACTGGGTGGATGACGAAGGCAAGCCTGCAGAGCTCTACGTTCAGCGTGTAAGTCAGACCAACCTATGTTTCTGACAGAGCTTGACTAATACCAACCACAGACAATGCTCTACCTCATCAGAAGAAGTTACGCCTACATCTACTCGTTGATGATCTCGTCAGAGCCCGTGTCGGAAGCCTTGCTGCCGATCTACAACCAGCTCCAAACGCTCAAGCGATGTCTCATCGAGGTCAAGAATAGCGGCGGTGTGCAATCCGTGAGGGAGCTTTACCCTTACAGCATGAAGGTATGGTGTGCTTCGTCCATGAGTCGAACCAGACTAACGATCCGCTTGCAGCTGCACTCGATCGACAACATGCGTCAAGATGGCAAATTCATGATCAACGACGATATCCCGGAAGGACAGGGCAGTGTCACCGAGCTTCTTGCTGAATGTTTTGAGCTCAATTATGAGCTCAGAGTCGCTGCTGAGGAGCAAGCCGAAGCTTGATGACGATGAGGGAAGGGACTTGTTTTGTTCGGCGTAAACGGACTAGCGATTTGTATCATGTCGGTCTTTGTGTGGTTTCTCTTCTGGCCAGTGAAACTGTGATGGACACATTTTAATGGGAAATGGTTAAACGGGACGAGGCAAACTCAAGTGTACTCAATTATGGACCAATGACATGATTTCTTTCCACATTTAGGAACCTGAGCTCGGGGCTCCCTTTCTACCAGAGATCAGATGGCACCTCAGATAGCGACAGTGCGGTGTTCAGATGCTGCTCCCGGCCTATAGGTGGCTTTCAAGTTACATCAGAATTTGTAGCACGCCAGCTTCTTAGCCATGTATGCGATGCGGGGGTCTTCACGTGAAGTCCGTGATCCATGGAGAGCTCGCGGGCAGTAGAAGTTTGCTTTTCCATATAGATGTACCAGACTTCTGGGGTTCGTCTCCAGACCATTGGCTCTGAAAGCTGAATACGACGTAGAGAGCTTGCCCATCCCCACGTTCGACAAGATAGTCTGGCATTACAAGACATGCCACGCTGACCGCTGTAGCAAGGCTGTTGAGCCACAAGCACATCCTGATGGTCAAGAAACGGGAAGAGACGAATTTAGAGTCATCATCACGAATCGGGACTGGGAGGAATAAATTCCGTTGCCTAGATAGAAATCATGATTCCCCAAATGGAGCTCCTAAGAAAGCGCAATACCATATTAGGGACCGACAATGGCGATGACAAGGAAGGGGAAAGCAAGTTAGCAGTCGCCCGATAGCGCAGCACAGCAAATTCGGCTCGAGAATATCAGGGCCCGGGCCCAAGTTGATTTGGCAATCTGCATGATTGAGACGACTAAGGTAGCCCCCATCAAACATCCAGGACAGGTACAGAGGGAATGAGTAAAAAAAGGTGTTGAAAGCTCGTAGGTATTGTTGAGTCACCTAATTCCCCCAAACCCCCGGTACCATCGGGGCATCGGCTCCAGCTTTCCCACCCCAATGGATCCTTATCCCCTACCCCCGAAAATGGCGAAATTCCCGTTCTCCCCTCGGCCCAGCTCCCGAATGCCAATTGAGAAAGAATTGAAATGCTTCAGAAGTCAAGACCCCTCCTCAACAGCGCTGGGGGAGAAATCCCGGCCGCAGCGGGGCGAACAGCTGGCTAGAGTCGGTTCACGCCGGGTTCGCGCACTTCGCGCATTCCAGCTCAACCCCGAAGCTGGGGCAAGGTCCCAGTTTGTTGGTCTGGGTTAAGATTTCTAGGTACTACACTGGGTAGGGTGGTATGTCATCACGGGGCACTATCTCAGCCTCTCTGCCTACTTCCCCCCGGGGCGGCGCGAACAACGCAATGGGGACCTGCGCCGGTCATCGGACCAGCCGAGACTTTCGTTTTTCCAAGATCCCATCCCGACCACCCCCCCGCCGTCTTGTGATGCATTTCCCGCTCCACCGAGGCAATTGGATCGGTTCATGTCAGGCCAGTGCCGAGCAAATTGCTGAGCTCTACCGGCGCAGCGACAGATGGGTACCTTATTTCGTACCTTGCCTCGACTCAATGGGCAGTGCGGGCTTGCGCAGCTCCGAGGTGAAGAGCGAAACGGCGAAACGGGGCGGAGTTGAAGCTGGAGCTGGGTGAAGCGGGCGGGCGGTCTCCACCGAGTTCCCGTATCTTTGTTAGTGACACTGGGGATCAGTCATATAATCACTCATCCACATATTGCGTGAGATGGGATTTCCCGTTTTGATATAAAAGAGGATTGGGAGGGCACTGGAAGAAACTTGGATGTGTTTCCTACGATCTGTTACTGCGTAAACCTACACAAAACTCACGACCAAATAAGCTTGACATTCACATCCCTTGCATCACCCATCTGCAAGCCATTGACATCTCACCGATAGAGGTCTCACAACTACACATCTCACCTCACCTCACACCATCACACTACCTTATACCAGCAACTTGACACCGACCTCTCGTCAATAAAACTACAAATCAACCTTTCATCTCACCACCCGTCAACACAACCTCACACACTACCCAGAAGCCAATGACAGTCAGGATGTCCTCCACAGAAGACACCTCGGCGCACAAGCGCAACGCCTCGGCAACAAGCGCAGTCCAAACCACACCTCCACCCGCAAAACGCCTTCCTCCTCCCACGGCACCCTCCTCAGTCGCAGCCCTTCCCCCCTCACGCCGCGAATTCCCCCACACCATCGCCCTCGTCCTCTACAGCGACGGCGGCGCCGATGTCGACGGCGCGGCCACCACGACAGTCATGGGCGCTTTCGCCTCGCTGGCGGACGCGAATGCCGAGGTGCGGAGGATATCGAGGGAGTACGCGCTGCGCGAGGGCGACGGTATCCCGGAGCCCGCAGCGGACAACGCTGGTGCGAGGGACCCTGTACGATGGAACGGTCCCGAGGGGAACTCGTGCTGGGTTGAGTTGCATGCCGTGACGCCAAAGAGCATCGTGCCGAAGAGCACGTCTGCGTCGCCGCAGCAGAAGCAGGGAGGCGATCAGCAGCAGAAGAAGCTTTATGATTCTGATGAGGGTGAGGATCCTGATCTTGATGATGAGTTGGACGAGGGGGGTCACTATGACTAAGGGAGATGGTGTGGTCTATTTCCCGTTTTCTGTTTTCAAGCTCGAGGTACTTTGGATAGGAGGATTCCCTTGGTTTTACGCCTGGGAAGGGTTCATGTTCGTGGTTGGCGAGATGAAGGCCCACGAATATGCGGCGCTGCCTGACGAGGTTCGCGAAGCATTGTTCAGGCATAATGGTTATTACGTTACTTGTGTATGCGGCAGGCGTTCTTATAGATATTGGAAATCCCTCTATTCTATCTTTCTTTCTAGGTATCTAAAAAAAACACACACACAAAATCTCTCTTCTTTCTCTATGTCTTTCACACCAGATGTATGTGAAGTCTACGAGAATACCCCTTTCTACTGTCTTACAATCATCTAGGTCCGCCATGAGCATGGCCGAATCTCTATGGTCTACTAATCGGCTGGTCTACAACTTGGCCTTGGGGGCCTCTTGTTGCTGCATCTTCTCGGCGACGATGCGGCGCTGAATCTTACCCGTGGCTGTCTTGGGCATCGTCTCGGTGAAGTAAATCTGGTATTTTTGTTAGTCGACGTTCCTGAACAACCTCACGAGAGTGTGTCAACTGACCTTCTTGGGAACCTTGAACTTGGCCAGCTTCTCCTGCACCCACCCCTTCAGCTCCTCGCCCTTGAGCTGCTGTCCCGGCTTGAGAACGACGGCCACGCCGATATCCTGGCCGTACATGTCGTCGGGGATGGCGAAGCTGACGGCCTCGGAGACGGCAGGGTGGCGGGTCAAGACGTTGTCGAGCTCAATGGGGCTAATCTTCTCGCCACCCTTGTTGATGAGCTCCTTGATGCGGCCCGTGATGACGATGTAGCCATCCTCGTCCTTCTTGCCCTGGTCACCCGTGCGGAAGAAACCGCCCTTGGTGTAGGAGGAGGCGTTGGCGGCGTCGTTGTTGAGGTACCCCTTGGTGACGTTCTCGCCACGGATGCAAATCTCGCCCTCCTGGCCCTGGGCGAGCTCATCACCAGCGTCGTTGAGGATGCGCACGTCGACACCCTGGCCGAGGCCGACGGTGCCGGGCTTGCGCTTCGCAGGCGGGAGGGGGTTGGAAGTCATCTGGTGAGCGGCCTCGGTCATGGCGTAGGCCTCGAGGACGGGCGCCTTGTAAGTCTCCTCGAGCTGGTGGAAGACGGTGGGCGACAGAGGGGAGGAGCACGAGCGGATGAAGCGGATGGCAGGTAGCGGGTTGGGCGTCGGGTTCTTGAGGAGGATCTGGTGGATGGTGGGCACAGCGGTGTACCAGTTGGCCTTGTGGGTGATGAAGTCTCCCCAGAACTCGGTGGCTGAGAACTTGTTCGGGACGACCATGGAGCCGCCGCAGGCCAGAGGTGCGAGAAGGCCGCAGAGGAGACCATGGACGTGGAACAGAGGCATGACCAGCATGGTGCGGTCCTGGCTTGTCAGCTGGTATGTGTTCTGGATGTTCTCTATCATTGGTGTTAGCCTGGCATCTCAGCTGCTCTCTCCTGCGAGACTTGGACTTACTCATCGTTCTGGTCAGGTTGCGGTGTGTAAGAGGAACCTATACTAGGTATGAGCTTTCTCGACTTTTTGATTCTCAGTAGGCCGACTCCCAACTTACAACTTTAGGTCTGGAGGTGGTGCCGCTAGTGTGCAGAACCAAGGCAAAGTCGTCGGCCTCAGCCTTCGACACCTTCTCAGGTCCCTTGCCCTTGAGCTGTCCGAGATCCTTGACATCAAGCGCGACCTCCTTCTTGGCCTCATCCCAGTACGTCTCAGCGATGGCCGCATTGAACTTCTTGGCGGCCTTGACGGCAGGTGCACCGGCGGCGTAGGCACCCTTGGGAACCAACACGATGGCGGACTTGACGTCCTCAATGTAGAACTCAAACTCGTCCTGCTTGTAGGCCGGGTTCAGAGGGGCGGCGATGCCACGCTGCCACGAGGCGGCCAGGAAGGAGACGATGAACTCATATGAGTTGACGGTCGCGATGGAAACGGGCGAGGCCTTTGTGATGCCGATGGCGGCCAGCTTCTGCTGGAAGGCTGAGGTCTCCCTCACCAGGTCGCCGTAGGTTACTGTGAGAGCATTGGGCTTGGACGGCACAATGACGGCCGTGGAGTTGGCCGGGCCGTCGATGGCGGTTTGCAGAGTCAACGCCATCTTTGCGTACTTTGCGTATGCGTTTTATCTCTCACTCTATTGGATGACAGGGTGTGATTGTGCCTGACCGGACGGCAGTTGAAGAGTTGCAACCACCAGCGAATTCGGAGAAGCTTTTGGAGTAAGGTAAGGTAATGTGGTGGACGATCGGATGAACTGGTCTAGACAAGGATAGAACCCAGATAATTCGGTCTGGGGTAGACAATTAGGATATTCAAAGAGTTTATGTGAGTGAGCCGTTCAACGGTAACAACCTTAGATAGAGGTAAAATACAAGTCTACGTTGGAGACAAAAGTTGAGGCACAATGGTCGACTGATAGGGAAACCTGACTAGGACGATGATGTGCTCGGGACCAGCCCAGCCTGGGACAAGCCGGATCACCCCGGTCGGCTTTTTCTTAGCCCACTGCCACATTTGCCCACTGAAGTTGACTGAACCACTGTAATACCCGCCCTTCCCAGATCAACCGGTGGCTCGTCCCCCACGAAGACCCCCGAAGAAACATGGAAATGCGCTTGCGCGGCGGGCTGGGCGCTGTGCCGGAACGCGCAGGGGTGGGTTTTCAGTGGCCCAGCGGTCTTCAATGTGCTGAAACCCAGGCGACCGGGCTCCGCTTTACTGATGGAAGAACGGCAGCGAACCGGTGGGTTTGGCTGATTGCCTTAGGTAAGCCCATGTATTCGTATCCGTTCTTTACGTCAGGCACCTGGCATTCTTAGGTACCGTCTGCACATTGACATTCGAGGTGCGCTCCCCGCGAGTGGGTCCATCGGGCAAGCTTCCTAGCAGCTTCGACTTCGCCTTGCGAACCAGGCTGAACGTATCTTGTCGTCTCTTTTTGCGACGAACTCAATCC